CCCTAATGATTTTAGGGGTTATGGGCACGAGTTCGAGAAGTCCCACACCACCTGCAAGATCAAGGATAGCACGGGTCATCACAGGATATCTTCCTACCGTTTCAGCAACTTGAACTTCATTATTCGCTATGAAGTAGATGCTTATGTAGAGGGTTCCTCGGGGAAGGCGTCTGGCAGTCGAGAGCTAGATCCCGATGTCCTCTCTAGCGCCTTGGATTCTCTCTCCGTTTCATCGTCTAGCAACGTTGGGAAGGCCACCAGAATCCCTGGGTCTAGAATGGCTATTCGAAGTGAAGGTCAGGTAGTGCCGCCCGATTCTATACTAGAGATCAAAACCCGAGCCGCACGGAAACCTCTTTTCCTCAACGATGTTGCAGTACAGCTTTGGGTTTCCCAGACTCCCAAGCTAGTGCGTGCTCATCACCGCGCTGGGCGGTTTGAGGAACCAGAGGTGGAAGACGTAAGGAGCCGCATCAGAAGTTGGGAATGTGAGAACCAGAGGGCCTTGGGAAAGTTAGCTGCCTTGATAAGGAAAATCATCAGCACCGTGAAGGGGTTCGATAGCCGAAAGGGTGTCATTAAATATGACAGTATCCGCGATACATTGAAAATCACGGAGGTCAACCGTGCACCATTTCTACCGATGGACCTATATTCTAAATGGAATGATCAGAAATAATGAACCCCAGCAGCTGAAGCTATGTGAGCATCTCAAAATCCGGCCGGAAATTACAGCATCAAGCACTACTAGCTACTGTATAAGTATAGCCACTTTGGGTCTAGGCTACTCATGATCTCGCGCCAGCTAATCGAGACGAGGGTTCGATGGGAGACTCGTTTGGAGAATTCGGGATGTCAAGTATTTAGGTTAACTCTTTAAGTGTGTTTCTTGCTATAATATTACTTTCACTATGGATTTGAGAAATTGTTCAAGGTAGATGGTGATTTGTGAATTTAATGGATGAAATCAATATTTTAGGATGTCTTATACTTTGTAGTCAGTGCTGAAACTTGAGCACGACTTCGCCCAGAGCTGGCTCTAGTGTGGGGCTGGACCCCTGTATAAGGAATTTTAGTGAGTAATCTGTAGCTAGCGAACTACCATTTTCCTAACCTATACCTTTGATACACCATCATTATCACACACTACTTTACTAGCAATGAATGGGCTGATACTGGAGGTTCTGATGTCTTAGTATGTAGTTCTATAAAATTTCGGATCATTTTATGTAATTTTTGCGTAAGTTTGATATTTTATCAAGTAGTAGCTAAGTCGTCACATTAAACCTGACTGTGGTATCGAAGGCATTCGTATCATCATCACCATAGTCTACATAAGGGGTTTTTTTTTTTTTTTTTTTTTTTTTCGTAAACTTTCAAGATCGTCAAGTTTCTGAAGTAACAGATAACAAGAATAGCTGCCTCAGTAAGCCAGAATAGGCTACATCTAGATTAGCCAGAGGCTCATAATCTACATAAAATGCCCTCGGTGCTCAAAACAGAGAGATAATCTGGGGTTATCTCATCAACAGATTTACACCTAACAGTCAAACCAAATTAGTCCACTACCCTTCGCAGACATTGTGTTTCGAGATATTACATACCCAGCGAGTGTCATGGTCATTCTAAAATCATTGAGAAGAATACGTATGGCAAGATCGACGCCCTCTTCGCCTTTATACTGTATGACATGTTAGATTAGAAAAGAAAAAAACAAGGGGGGGAGGGGGTAGTAGAGTATAATATGAGCATACAGCAAGACCCCAGATAGGGATTCTGCCCACGAAGCAATATTGAGCGCCCAGGGCTAAGGCCTTGAAGATATCAGAACAGCTCCGGATTCCACCATCGACAGCTAATTGGATTTTACCCCGAGCAAAAGGAGCTACCTCTTGCAGTACGTCAAGTGTCGCAGGAACACTGTCGAGTTGGCGCCCACCGTGGTTGGAAATTATGACTCCATGGACTTTATGCTGGATAGCGAGCCGGACATCTTCGATTGAATACACTATGAAATCTTGTCAATGTGTCTGTTGTGTCAATATCTAGTGCAGAGAGATATAGGCTACCTCCATTTAACCATATTTCAAGGTCGTTTTACGACCATAGCCACGAAACTATTTCCTCCCATACTAATGCCGTATCTAGGATTACTAGGTTAGCCCCTATAATATATGAAGCAAGTGCTCTGTAGAATACCGTATGATCTTGAGCCATCGCCCTCTTTCAAATCTTCAACGCCCTCCTGAAAAGGGTTGGGAAAGCTGGTACCAGGTGGTAATGTGAAGTTATTGCGGAATTCATTGAGACGTGGCCCGAGGCTGGGTGTATCAACGGTCAGCAGAATCGCACGATATCCGGTCTCTGTCAAAAATCATTAACGCTCAGTATATGTACACCCACTTATATACTTATCCTTCGGCTTCATATGTGAGGGCCCCTCTTTCGCTAACTTCTCAATAGCGCCAAACTCACGTTGAGCTCTCTTGATGAGCTGGACTGCCACCGATCGATCCTTCAGCTTACTGCGGTTTGCCATCTTAGCCACTAGATTATCAATAAATGCAAGAAACCAAACTCATGGTACACCTGACTAGCAACGTCAATTGCTAACTTAGCGCTGATGGTGTTCGGTTTAATTACTATTTACATTCACGAGCTGCGATCCCCGCAGTCCGACGATCGGAACCTGCGGTAACATACTCTTTCCCATATCCCGCTCATAACTTCACTTCCTTCGAAGTCAGCAGAGAACATTTAACCAAAGCCGATCTTGATCATGACTCAGCCCCGCGGGGGAAGCGAGCACAGACTGGAAGTGCAGTCCACTTCCTGTCTTACCTATCTTCAACACTCCGCTCAGAGTGTCATCGATACGACTCAGCCCAGTTATTATGCAAGTCTTTCAGTTGCACGCACAGCTAAGACAGGAAATCATATAGTAGGTTAGCAACCCGATCCACTAGATAGCTAGATTTAGGTAGATTTGGGGTATAGTACACGATTGGATCTGGAGAGCATAGCCCCCGGGTGGTCTTGGCCTTGGCTGTCTTCGCTAATGATTCCTGCCCAGACTACGGAGTACCAGGTTGTTGTCAGCGAGGCAAATAGGGATGGTTATCCAGCCAATAGGAGATGAGGGAACTTCCAAATCAAGTCAAAGACCATTCCATTGCCTTGGAAGGTATCCAAGATAGTAGATCGCTACTTGCCTTTCTCTAAAAGGCCTCCTCCCATAGCATATATTGATTTAGGTTACTGTCAATGTCACTTGCTTCTTACAAGAAGCATTATCATGAAGAATCCTTACTCAGTTGTACCAGGGCCTTGGTCCAGTGTACCCCGACACAATAGAAAAGGGGGACAAGATATAATACGTATGAATGCGCACTGCGGCTATAGTTGTCGGCTTGTTACTTGAGAATAAATAAGACATATAGACTGGCGTGTTACAAAATTTCCAAACTTCTCTTGCGAGTCTCGCTCAGAATTATAATCGCCCTCGGGAACATGCCTTAAGCCATTATATAGATAGCACCAGATAAATAAGTATGGTTCGCGTGTGTCTAATAAACGTCCAGATCAAGTGTCAGCCAGTATTGTGATACCCCGTCTTTCCACTGCTGGTTAATAAAAACACGGATGCGTGTATGACTTTTCCTGTCTTCACTGGCACGTTCGTGAGGTGTTGATTGGGCCTTTGGTCTTTCAAACCTGGCAAGCCCGGATCCTTATGCAGCTTATAGCGACTCGTTGGACGTTGGGTTATTTCCGGTTATATCTAGTGCTACACCATTCCTCTGTCTTTAAATCTCCCCATTAGCGGCCTCGAGCTTATTGTGAAGCTATATTTGTGTTAATTCTCTATTGTCAATATATACTACCTACCAGCCGTATTACATTATGTCAGCCTTTTACCATCTATCCCCCCACGCTCCTAGCTCTGACAAGAAGTTGGAGGTTATCTGTGCAGGTTCAGTAGACAATTCAGGGAGATACATTCGGTACTCAAGCTAACTGGGGATGAGGACTACCAAGGTGTGCTAAAAGCTCTCTAAAACACGCGTTACAGTACTTGGGATATTCTACCTGTCTCATGACGGACATCCTATGCTGGCCAGACCGGTGAAACAAGCAATTGCACTATATCAAGGACAGGATCATCGAGAGCGCCAGGCAAAGCTACATAAGCTATTCGATGGCTTCAGTGAAATCTGGTACATGCTCTCTGTATTCTGAGTGTCTTAAAATGGGCGTATTCTTGGCCGCCAAATTCGCTGAAAGCGAAGCAGTGACACGCCGGGGGGCCATCATTTGTCGACGACTTGATGGATATGTACCCAGACGCCAAGATCCTGCTCAACCAGCGACGCGATCCCACGACCTGCGCACAGTCATTCAACGAGGGCGTCATGTTCTTCTGTAGCTGGGAGTACTGGTTCTTCGGACTGCTCATGACGCTAGATAGGCTCCACTGTGAATTCACCTGCCTATAAGTGAGCCAGCTACGGGCCCGCTTCCAGCGCAATCAGGACTGGCTGGAGGACGCCTACGTCCTGCACAACCAGTGGGTGCGCGACGAAGCTGCGAGAAGGGGAAGACCCGTTTTGGAGTGGATGCCAGATAACGGGTGGGAGCCGCTCTGCGAGTTACTTGTGGTGCCCGTTCCAAATATGCCATTCCCGCATAATAATGAGAGGACAAATCTGTAACGCATTCATCGCGAGCAAGTTCTAAAGGGGCTTAGAAGATGGGTTTTTTTAGTATTTGCCGTTGGAGTTGTGGGTTTTCTAGCAAGATGCGCATTGTCCAGGAGTTAAAGGGAAGAGGAAAAGGCTTCAAAACTTGTTGGGATAAAATAATAACAATTCAATAACACGTTCTGTGAGAAAACGATGAAAAGGAAAAGGGGGAAAAGGAGACCATCAAATGAATGATGGCTTTTATGAGATATATACAACAATATCTTCTTGGCTCCATCACCAACCAATGTGCAAATCGCCCGCTTGGCTCAGCGGTAGAGCGCCTCACTAGTACGAAACAGTAACTGGAATATGAGGAGGCGACTGGTTCGACTCCAGTAGTGGGCAATACGAAATGATCATCGCTAGCTCAGCGATTGATATTCTTCAATTTTTGGTCCTTTTTCTTTTTCAATTTAATATGACGACCATTTAGAAAGTTTTTATAGAAACAACTTATGCCATGATTTTTCAACAAGAACTTGTTATTTAAATCCGTTGATTCGTGCGTTAGCGAAGAAGAAAAGCGCATGCTATAATATATTTGACCGTGGGTTTCCACTAGGGCACACAGCTAATATGAGCGAAGTCTCGGAGTCAATATGGGAATGGCATCAATAGTACAAACGCATGAGCAATCAAAAGTACTAATTGCATTAATACCCTCTATGTTTATGGATGAGCCTTATACTCATGTATCTTGAAGTTCAAAATAAAATATAAATTTTCTCATAAATGGCGGGCGAAGTCATTGAAATGTGCCTCTCCTACACGAGGATATTAATTATTATGAACTTCATACCCCGGAAAAGATTCAAATCTCACTGTTTAACACCCATGATAATTAGCATATATAATAAACACTAACTTCTATTTATACCAACCAGCTATAGTTAAGAGATGCATGTCTACTTCTATCTATACCCACCTATGCTTAGTATATATAATAAGTGCCGGCTAGGAGATGTGGTATGACCAGGTAAAAAAGTAATACCACACCACCATACGCACCCCCTTGAAAGTCTGTAGAGAAACAAAAAGTCTCCTAATCGGGTCTACTCAAGGTAAGGTCCCATTCACATGTAGAGATAATACCTATCACTATCGATGTCTCTAATCTCTCGTGCAACAATATTGTACGATATGACACCAAAACCAGGTATATCCATAGTCCCAAGCTCTCATGACACCACGGCCGGTTTCCTTTTCTCTAAGAAATGATATACATTAGGTAGATAATATCGCAATATCCCGTGAATGAACTCAAATACTGTGTTCTCTAGCACCTAATACGATTTCACCATCTATAACCTATACCCTCACAGTGATCCAGATGCCGGATGTTATAATATCTAGATCATATATATAGGATGACATTATAACTTTGCAAGAGATATATCAGCACCCATTTCGGTAATACCATGTTACCAAGTTCCAGAGGTAAATATCCCAGATGGCAGTACTGGCCTAGGGTAGTGCCATAGCGAATAACTAGAAAATAAGGCCCAAGCCAGTCACAATATTTGACAAATTCTAGTTTCCATAAATATCAACTTTTATTTGAATTATGTTGCCGGATTCATTCCGCATCATGTAATCGTTACTCATGGATTCTCCAAAAATCAGTGTAATTACATGTTTTGTTTGTACTGTACGTAGCTGCAAGCTTCCTTGGCGTTCAGCTATTTCTCTCTTCTCCAAATTTATTCAAGTTTCCCCTATTTACGTCTTGACATCGGGCTCGTCGCGTCCGACATACTCCTTGAACTTCAGAAGATCCGTAGCAAACTTGATCTCATCCTTTAGGAAGACCTGGGCATCCCGACTGTAGGTAGAAGGATCGTTGCTATACTTCTCAATGTACAATCGGATGGTAGCACCTGATGAGCCCGTACCAGAAAGTCGGACGACAATGCGGCTACCAGACGAGAATCGGGCGTAGAGACCCTGGTTAGAGGAAACAGAGCCATCTAGATCAGTGTATGAAAAGTTTCCGGCATCGGTGACAGTTCGTTCTAGAGATTCGATGTTAGCGACAGCCTTTTTGTCTACGAGATTCTCAGACAAACCTCCGATCTTGCTGCCCTTGAAGTTCGGGTCGGCAACTAGGTCCTCAAGCGTCTTGACCACCTTGTTGGCACCATCCGAATCAACATTTTCGTAATCATAGCGAGTGAAGAACACACGGCCGTAAATGTTCCAGAAGTCTTCCTGGATCTGCTTGATGCTGGGCTTCTTATCGGGGTTGGCCTCGCCCAAGCCAGCAATGATGTTGAGCCATGCGACAACTGCCCATAGACCATCCTTTTCACGCACATGGTTGCTGCCAGTACCGAAACTCTCCTCACCACAGATGCTGAGCTTGTTGGCATCGAAGAGGGCACAGAAGAATTTCCAGCCGGTGGGGACTTCGTAAGCGTTAAGGCCCTGTGCCTTAGCCACAAGGTCAACAGCTCCAGATGTCGGCATGCTTCGGGCAAGGCCGTAGACACCCTGCTTCTTGAAGTAGGGGATAAGTTGGGCGTGATGAGCGATGATGGCCAAGCTGTCACCTGGAGAGACGAAGGCTCCTGCTCCGTAGATCATGTTTCTGTCACCGTCGCCGTCCGAAGCAGCACCGAATGGAATGGCATTCTTGTCAACAACTTCGACGAGAGAGTGGGCATAGGTAAGGTTAGGGTCTGGGTGTCCACCATTGAAGTCGGGCGAAGGGATGCAGTTTTGGGTGGAGCCCTTCAGGCCAAGCTCCTCCTCGAATATGGCGGTACCGTAAGGACCGGTAACACCATGCAGACCATCGAAGAGGACCTTGAAGTCGGGGTTGGAGGTGAAGAACTTCTTGATGAGCGGGAAGTCGAAGATGTCCTTCAGCATCTGCACGTAGTCGGCAGTGCTGTCGATGATCTCAACCTCCAAGCTTCCATAAGTCTTGGTGCCAATGGTGCTGATATCCACGTCGGGGATGTCAGCCAGCTTGTAGGAGGTCAGGGTTTTGGAGGCTTCATAGATCTTGTTGGTTACGCTCTCGGGGGCGGGACCACCGTTCGCTAGGTTGTACTTGATACCGAAGTCTTCGTTGGGACCTATGAGAGGCAAAGGGAGTCAGTTTGTCTAGCCATAGCCATGCTCGATAGGGGTCATGAGGTACTTACCACCAGGGTTGTGGCTAGCAGTCAGGAGGATGCCTCCGGTAGCCTTTCGCTTGCGGATGATATGGCTAGCTGCCGGGGTAGACAGAATACCGTTCTGTCCTATCAGGAGCTTCTTTACACCGTACGCGGCACCGATTCTGGCAATCAGCTGGATCACCTCGGGGTTCCAGAAACGACCATCTCCACCGATAACCAAGAAGGCTCCTGTGTGACAGCAAGTAACCTGTTAGTGTATGATATTCCAAGTGACCTGCTTTTTACATGTATGTGTATACTAACCCTCGGCACCTTCTGGGATGGAGAGCAGGATGCTGGTAACGAAGGACTCGCTGTAGTGAGGTTTCTGGAAGACCTTGACTTTCTTTCGAAGACCAGAGCTGCAACATTGTTAGCACTGAGGTCTTTCGTGTTGTTGAGGAGAGTGTATTCTCGTTATTAATAGTGGCGATGATGTTGATGTCAATGTTGGTGTTGGTGGTATCAGGGTAGCTTTGGGTAGAGAGACAATGGGTTCGGTAAAAAAGGGTCATACATACGTTCCGGGCTTCTGGTCCGCGAAGGACTGGAATTCGACAGTCTTGACGCTCATAGTGTTCTGATACGTAGATAGATGGATTGAGGGGGATGGATAGATGAACGGATGAACAGATGGGAGTTTATTAGTTGAATCTGTCTACAAGAGTAGAAAAGGAGCTTGTCAAGTTAATCCAGGGGTTGAAGGGGGGAAAGTAGTGTAAGTAAATAGTTAGAGGGGGTGGAACTGGATATTTAGTGCAGAATGGTGCTATCGATGGAAGCTACACAGCTAGATCAGGAGGGGTGGGTGCATTGGCGGGGTAGCAACGACGAAAAGTTGCGGTGATCTCATTTCACATGTGGGGTTACAGCAAGACCAACCAACCCGAACCAACCCAACATCCATGTGTGTAGTATGTGCAAGTAGTACGTGGTGGTACATACACTGCGTGCACCTACCTAGATCGAATATGTACAGTTGAAGGTTAGCCTAGATACACAGTACTGTAACTGACAACTTACCGCTATTTCAACAGTATTCACGGACTAGGTTACTACTTAAACCTTGGGTATGGTATTATTTACCGAGTTAGTGTCTGGTAGCATCTTCTCACATTGTAGAGAGATCTCAGTGTGTATGTGTGTGAATGATAACCATCCCTTACGAAAATCATCAGCCAAACGATAACCCACGCGATATTTTTAAACCAATAGCCTTATGCATATGCGCCAGCTTCCAATGATACAGTAGTAATTATATCATGGTTAGAAGGTATACCTTCAAACTTGGGTTTCCACGATGATAGTTAGGTACGGTACATCGCCAACAACATTGAAGTCTAGAACCAGCTTGACTTATTTCGTGCATCGGGTTCATAATTTATTTAGGGCGCCTAGCGCTCAGCTCGCAGTTTATTTATTGCCCGCCAGGTTTGTTGCCGCTATTGAATATAACATCCTTGTAATATCGGGCCTCAGCAATGCTCTCTAGTATATCTTCCTTAGCCTGATGGATGCCCTGCTTCGTGGGTGCATTCTCCATAACCTCCGGCGGACACCACCGCCTTGCCGCCTCCTTGATAGAGCTGACATCTAGAATCCGGTAGTGCAAGTAATCGACAACCTTTTTGTACGGCCCCTTGCTCAGGAACCCACGGTCTGCGTGCACGCTATTGCCGGCCAGCAAGGCACTTCTTACTACGGGTACGTGCTTCTGAATGTAGGCGAGAAGCTCGTCGGCTGCTTGCTCCGGAGTCACGCTCGAGGCCAGTACTGCGGCCGTCAAACCACTCTTCTCGTGTGTATTCGTACACCATTCATCCATCATATCCATCCTTTCTTTTGTCTGGTGTACCACAGTACCCCAGCCAGCCTCATCGACAACCTCTAGACTTCCCGTGGTAATCATGCAGAATATCTCGATTATCTCCTCACGATCAGGGTCCAGACCCGTCATCTAAGAACGTTGCATCATCAGCTTACGGTTCTTAGAGAAATAAAAAAGAGAGATAAAAAATGAGACCAATCAACCCAATGTCTTAGCTATATCTTCTCACCTCGCAATCAATCCAGACAAGTGCGTCATTTTCTGCCATCTTGTTGTGTGTATGTACAAAACGGTTTTGTCGTGATTGATAGGTTGAATATTTGTTAGCGAACAGGTTGGGCGAGGCTAAGATG